ACTTTAATTTAATCTCATTAGGTTTCTTTTACTGTTGTTCTATTGAAACTAACTTTGTCAGTTTTTTTTAACTGTATTTTTTTTTGTCTTTTCTTTTTTGGTACTGGGGATCGAACCCAGGACGTTGCACTTGCTAGGCAAGCGCTTTGCCACTGAGCTACATCCCAGCCCACTTTGTCAGTTTTTTGTTTTTAATCTTCTTATTCAGTCGCTCAGCACTTTGTGTTATTGAAAACTCTTAGTTTCTAAGATAACATTCTCTGTCTTTTCTGTTCCATTAACTACTCTACTCTATTCATTTTTATTTTATGATCCCCACACACAATTTCTTCCTTAAGTTACCATAAGGTCCCCACATTGAAACCATTTTTATGCAGAGAAACTTCAGATTCATGTTTCTACCTCGAATCCTTACCTGGCTGCATAAGGATTTTAAATACAGCACCACCAAAAAACCGTTTTTGTGTTTAAAATTTTTTTTATTGTTTTGGAGGTGATATAGGGTGGGATTACATTTACATATATCAGGTAATAAGTACATTTCCTTTCCCACAGTATCATTTGTTCCTTTATTCTCTCCTATTCCCTCTCTCCCATCTTCACCCATGAGTTGCATAGTTCACTTTCATCATTGTCTTTTTCACCATTTTTCCTTGGATTCTGTTCTCACCTTCTCGTAGATGTGCACATGAATACATTGTATATAAAGAATATAGAATCATCAGCAAAAGAAAAAACATATTAAGAAAAAAGTCCTTTGTTTTTCTTTCTTTGGAATTTGTTTCAAGATGCATATTATTTTATATGCATATGAAGAGGCGCTTGGGATTGCACCTTTGTGATTCAAGGCTATCCTCTTTTGTTCTCACTGTATGTGAGTATCTCCAATACTTGTAATTTGTCATATCAGTGCATTTTAGATCTAACTTCCAATATGAGGGAGAACATGAATCCGCCTTTTGTCTCTCATCTTGGCTTACCTCACTTAATATTCTTTGTTCTAGTTTGCTCTGTATCCTTACAAATGACATTATTTTATTCTTTCTAAGGCTGTATAAAATTCCATTGTATATAGGTACCACTTTTCTTTTTTAAATCTACGCATCTATTGTGGGGCATCTGGGCTGTTTCCATATCTTGGCTACTGTGAATAGTGCAGCCGTGAACATGGATATGCTCATGATGCTTAAGGTAGATGTCAAGGAGAGGTATGACTGGGTCGTGGGAAGGCCTATGTTTAGTTTTCTGAGGAACCTCCAGAGTGCTTTCCAGAGTGGTTGTACATTCCTACCAGCACTGCAGCAGGGTTCCTTTTCTCCCATATCCCCACCAGCATTTGTTGTTGTTCAAATGAAAAATGTTGGCTAGTCTAACTGGGGTAAGATGGTAGCTCAGGATTTGCATTTCCTTTATGGCCAGAGAAGATGAGTATTTCCTCATGTGTTTCTTTGCCATTCTTAGCTCTTCTTCTTAGAGTTTTAGGTATGATGGTGAGGTCTTTGATCCACTCTGAATTGATACTAGTGCATGGTGACAACAAGCAGGGATCCACTTTTAGTTTTCTACATGTGGCTGCCCAGTTTTCCCATCACTAAGTGTTGAAGAGGCTGTGTTTTTTCCACTGTATGTCTTTGGCTCCTTTGTCGAATATCTGATGTCTATAAGTATGTGATTTTATTTCTGGGTCTTCTAGTCTGTTCCATTGGTCTTCAGGTCTCTTTCTGTGCCAATACCAAGCTGTTTTTGTTATTATGGCTCTGTAGTAGAGTTTGAAATCTAGTATTGTGATACCGCCTGCATTGCTTTTTTTTGCCTAAAATTGCTTTGGCCATTCTAAGTCTTTTGTTGTTCCACATGAATTTTTGGATTGTTTTGTTTATCATGGTAAACAACATCATTGGGATTTTGATGGGGGTTGCGCTGAACTTGTATATCATTTTTGGCAGTATGGCCATTTTCACAATGTTGACTCTACCTATCCATGAACATGGAAGCTCTTTCCATTTCCTGGTATCCTCTTTGATTTCTTTCTTTAGATTTTTATAGTTTTTGCTATAATACCTTTTATATCTTTGATTAGGTTAACTCCTAGTTTTGTGGGGGGGGGTTGTTTTGTGTATGTGTGTGTGTGTGTGTGTGTTTGTAGTTTTTTTTGAGGCTATTGCAAATGGAGTTGTTTCCAAGATTTCCCATTCTGCTTGTACATTGTTGGCATACAGAAAGACTACTGATTTTTTGTGGGTTAATTTTGTATCCTGCTTCTTTGCCAAAGTGGATTATTAGTTCTAGGAGTTTGGGAGTGGAGTTTTTTGGGTCGTTGAGGTATAAGATAATGTCATCTGCAGATAGGGATAGTTTAATTTCTTCTTTCTCTATGTGAATCCCTTTTATGTCCTTTCCTTGCCTTATTGCTTTGGCTAAGAATTCCAGAACTACATTGAAGATGAGTAGAGAGAAATGACATCGGCATCCTTGCTGTGTTGCTGACTTTAGGGGAAACACCACAGAACTCTTGATCCAATTTTAGTCTTCAGAATTACTGTCTTCAGTTTTTAGAATGCTCTTTGGAAAGGTAAACCAGTTCATATCACTCTCCTTGTCCTATTTTCCTTTGAGGGCCATGGCTTCAGCTCTAAGGAGAGAAGACTGCCTTCAAATCCCAGTACTGCTTTATAAAGCCTCAAAACCTCCATTGACTGTATATTTTGAGTGAAATTCAGTTTCTTACCATGAATAATGTGAACGTTGCATCTTATTGTCCTGGCCTGCATCTCTGAATATTTTCTACTGTTCTTTCTTTACTCAGATGATGCAAACATGTTATCCTTTAGATTATTTGGTGGTTTTGTGTTTTTGTTTTTGTTTTAAAGAGGAGTGCTTTTTCCTTTTTTTTTTTTTTTGGCAATACTGGTATTTGAACCCATGACCTCACACATGCTAGATAGCCACTCTGTTAGTGAACTACACCTCAAATCCTTTTCTAGTAATTATTTTTGAGATGTTGCACTTCCTGCCTGGGAACATACTTGGACTGTAGTCTGCCTTTTTATAGGTTGCCTTTATAGCCAGGATGCCGGTGTGCATGATGACAGGTATGCACCACCACATCAGCTTCTTTCCATGAGAATGATTCTTTCAATATCTTTTCTGCCCAGGCTGGCCTCAAACTTCAGTCCTTCCATTCATAGCCTTCGAAGTAGCTAGAACTATAGGCATGAGCCGCTGGCATATGGTTTCCTTTTGGTTATTTCCAAGCTCATCTGTAAATATTTACATTTGGAGTCTCTGTAACCACAGTATTCTGCCTTCAGATCAGTAGTTTTAATAGCTATCTATCATGGGAAGAGTGAGTCTTGCTTTAATAGCAGGTTTGTGGTATGTTTGTTTTTCCTGAATCTAGCCACCTAAATGTGAATTGTATAGTATAGGAACATTTTCACGAACAGGTTGAATTTAGAATGGAAATGGAAGTTTTGAAATTAGTAGTTCTTTGTGTTCTGCTATCTGCCAAGGTCAAAAGCTAGAGTCTTACATCAGCTATCATCTTTGTTAAAATAGTTATACTGCCCTGTCACCTTATTGCTTTACTTATGTGCTTAGTAAGTAATGTCTTGATAGATTGTTATACTATAAAAGGAATGTAAAATATCACATTACACATAAGCCTAGACCAGAAGGTCAGTTTAAGGAGTATTTAATTTTTTTTTTTTTCTGTCTCTGTGGCCCTTAGACATACCTACACTCCTTTTTGGTCTCTTTTCCAACCATAACACTACGAATCTTCCTGATTTTCAAGCATATATTTTGTACTTTGTAGCTCTCTGAATTACATTGATTGAAAATACCTTATGTTTTCCTATTTCTGAGCTAGAAGATGGGGGAGATGGCAAAAATAGTGGCAGGATTAAATATGGCCTAACTAAACTTTTACATGTATGAAAATAGAATAATGTAATGGTTAAATTTATGAAGTAGGGAAGGAGAATGATAGAGCTAATTCATTGAGATACATTGTATGTATGCAATATCAAGAGGAATTGCCCCCTACTATAAAATTAATATATTTAGTTGTATTATATTGCTATTTAGTGTTTGTTTTTTAGAAAGAGTGAGCATACATTTGTATCTTCCCAAACTATGGCCTTTCAGTTGCTAGTATGCTGTATTTTACCTCTTTCTAAAACTAAACTGAGCTCTTTCCATGTTTATACCTTTTCAATTGTTTATATCTCAGATAAACATAAACAATAAATATATTTGCCAAAAATTTTGCACTAGTAACAATTTCAAGTACTTCTTACAAACTGTAGACCATGTTCCATACCCTATTTGCAGTCAGTAGACAAACATTTTTGCAAAATACAATACAAATGAGTTACTGAAAGCTTTTTTGAAGGGGTCGGGGTTGTGGTACTAGAGTTTGAATTCACATTCTTGAGCTCCTTAGCTAGCTTGCTCAGCTGGCTTGAGCCATGCCTCTTTTTGCTGGTTTAGAAATGAAGTTGATTGAAAGCTTAGACAGGCCTCCAGATCTCAGCCTCCTCAGTTGTTAGGATTACAGACAAGAGCCACCAGTGGCAGTCCCTCAAAAGAAAACATTAAAAAAAAAATAGGTTCCAATTCTTAGAATCAAATGTATAGATATAACATTATTCTCAAATTGCTATAAAAATTCTAAAAACTTAATTTCTACATTTATATTCTTGCTGAGAGTAGTTCATTGACTTCTAGCAAATACTTTGTACAACAATACTAATCCACAGATTGCTTTTTTGAGACAGGATGTTGCTATGTACCTCAGACTGACCTTGAACTTGTAGTCCTCCTGCCTGAGCCTCCCCTGCCCAGAGTTTACAGTTGGGGGCCACCATACCTGGCTCACTATGTTACATATTTGTAGTCAGATGTTTGTAATGTTTGGTGTTATCTCAGAAGCATTTAAGTCATAATAAAGAGTTTGTAAAATATTTTAAGAATATTTTCCTATGTTTCCCTTTCAGAATCGAGAGCTCCAAATCATGAGAAAGCTAGATCACTGTAACATAGTCCGATTGCGTTATTTCTTCTACTCAAGTGGTGAGAAGGTAGGTCTGACAAAACTATTCACTAAATACTGTGATAAACATTTTTCTAAATAACCTTTCCCTGCCCTCCATCTCCATAAAATAGTTTGTGTAATGGAATAGAACAATGCAAAGCACAGGCCACAGTGGCTCTGAACCTGAATATGCTCATTGAAACTATTGTATCAAGAAAATATTAATGCGAAATAAAAGAGGATGTACTTTTAAGAATTGTCTCAGCCTTGCAGTATGGTATTGGCTTTTAATCTCAGTACTTGAGAGAGATTGAGGCAGGGGAATATGTAGGCAAGCCTGGCTGCATAACAAGTCTGTCTTTAGGAGAAAAGAGAGGGAGTGAAAAAGGTAATTAGAGAGGAAGGAAGGGGAGGGGAGGAAAGCATTTTCTCTTTTTTTAACACCTACCTTTAGTTTTCAAGCAAATTAATATTTTTTCATTAATATTTTTGTGTCCTTTATGTATTTATGAAACCCTCTGATAAATTCTTTTTTTTTTTTTTTTTTTTTTTGTTCGGTTGTGGGGCCTGAACTCTGGGCCTGGGCGCTGTCCCTCAGCTCTTCAGCTCAAGGCTAGCACTCTACCACTTGAGCCACAGCGCCACTTCCGGCTTTTTTTTCTTTTTGCTTATATGGTGCTGAGGAATCGAACCCAGGGCCTCAGGCTTGCAAGGCAAGCGCTCTGAGCCACCTTCCCAGCCCTGATAAATTCTTTTGGAGGGAGGAAAGTTGAATCATTTTGTTAAGTGGAACGACTACAGAGAAGAAAGAAGGAAGAGGACTGGTTGGACTAGATTAAGAGTTAAATATTATAAGGTAGTTTAACCAATCCATAGCCAGGGAAGAAGCTGAAAAGGGTATCATATTACAGAGCTCATCATATGTAGTGACTGTTTCTGATCACATTTAATTCTACAAAAGTAAGGGATGTCTGTGACCATGCTGTGAATCCTTTACCCATTTTCTTTTCTCTTCAGAGGGACAGTAACTAATGTCATTATATACATTGAAGCTGGAAGCAAAGAAAACTAGTTTCTCCTGTCCCCCATTTTTATCTTTCTGTCTATCACTTTACCTTCTGCCAGATTTCAGTCTGTCACTTTCCCCCCTTCCCACCCATCTTACTGGTTTAAGGTAGAAGGTAGAGAAATAACAATTAAATCGCTTGATTTGTGCATGACTACGGAAAAATTAAGCCTTTGAATAAATTCACTTGACATTTTGGAGTTCACATTTCACACATATAGTTAGTATCTAATTGGTCTTAGATCCATCATGCCTATTGATTTGTAGCTCATTGTTCTTTTGACTTCAAATAATTTTTCTAATGTCACAGGTTTTTTTTTTTTTTTTTTTTGTTTTGTTTTGTTTTTGTCGGTTGTGGGGCTTGAACTCTGGGCCTGGGTGCTATCCCTCAGCTCTTCAGCTCAAGACGAGCGCTCTACCACTTGAGCTATAGCACCACTTCCGGTTTCCTAATGGTTTATTGGAGATAGGAGTCTCACAGACTTTCCTGCTGGGCTGGCTTTGAACTGCGATCCTCAAATCTCAGCCTCCTGAGTAGCTTGGATTACAGGCATGAGCCACAGGCCTGGCACAGGTTGATTTTTTTAAATTAGCTTATATTAGTTACATAGGAGAGAATGTCATTGTTACATCTCCACACATATTTACACTGTTTTCCAGTCAATCCCACCCCTTAATCACAGTCTTTCTCCTTTCCTCTAAAAACCTATCATCCCCAATAGGGTTTCATTGTTTTGTTTTAATAATTTTGCAAATCTTCTATAGTATTCAACCAGATTTGCTAGCTTGCCTTAAACTTATTTACATTTCTTTAAGAATCCCTCCCTTTGAAACAAAGCCTATGACAGGATATCTATGTATGTCATACAATATAATGATATCCCTGTCTACAGCATGTCAGAGTTAATTCATTTTAACCATAATTAACAAATTGATCCTTTATTGGTATTTGCTTCTCAGTTCCTTTTTTAAAAAACAAATGTAAATGATATTTCACCTTTTATTAGCCCTCATAAATATTATGAGTTCTTTTTTTCATGCTCCTTTTCCCCCTCTTAACCTAGCAAACTTTTTATTCCTGTCTTTTATCTTAAGTGTTTTGATGGCCTTACAAAGCTTCTAAACATTTCCTCATATGTGTGTGTGTGTGTGTGTGTGTGTGCGCGCGCACATACATACATACATAAAATTCCTAGAATACCAGACACTATTTAATTCTTTACAACTATTCGATTTAACTTTTCTGAAGTTAAAGATTACAGAATAAGGATTATTAGACCTTTGAATTCAGTGGTTTACCTGTCTAGTTGTAGCTAGTGGGAAGCCTCCATCAGTCAGCCTGATTTAACCCTGCCTTATTGGTGGCAGTTGACTGGCTATTATCTTGAGAGTACCTGAGAAGAAGAGTTCCATGAAGAGTTCCATCCTGCTGCTACTCACAGCTTCCTATGTATCATAAATATTTTTATATATGCAGAGAAATTATTAACCAAAGTTAGTAAGAAGGATAGTGAACTTCACTCTGTTAGCAAAAGAAACACACTTTCAAATATTTTATATATCTCAGAACTATTTTTTGAGCATTGTAATTTTGTTCAAGTTAAAGATAAAGACACATCTGTTTGGGGTAGCTCCATAAAAAATTACAGGAAGAGATGGGGAAGAAGGGAGGTAGTGATCCTTTGTCCCCAAACAAGAAAATTGTCTAAAGATACACATAACTATACAGGTTCAACACTCCAAATCTTCCAGCTACTTAAAGGATCACTTCAGTGACCCTAAAAATGATCTCCATTTCTTGAGTTGTTCTGATAGGACTAATAAGTTAATTCTACCATAGGAGAGGGTGAGTTCTGTTCTTGAAATGAACACTCTGATTTTCTTAGGAGAGGATTCTGTTGCTGCTTAAATAAGGACCTTAGCACCTCTGGCATTTGTACTTACATCTAAATATGGCAGTCCTTTTCTCGCAGAAGCTTTGTGTATTTGTGTATGTCTAAGAGGAGTTTTAAATACTGATCAGGTATTTTGTAGGATGTTCATTTGTAGTTAAAGGTTTTTGGGAAGAACACCAAATGGATGGTGTCCTTCTTACCATATTCTATCATGGTATATACTGTTAGCATGATATATGACTGCTATTACTGACTTCCCTTACCAGTCTGCCATAGTGAATTTGAGCTTTCTCCACTGTAACCCCCTTGTCACCCCCCATCTTCCTCTTTCTATACTACTTGCAGTCACTGTAGATCACTGTAAGAAGAAGTAGCTATGTTTTTATACCCTTTTTTTTTCTAACACTAGAATAGCAACATAAATTGTTGATGTGTTTTGTCTTATTTTGGTTTGTTTTGCATGCCAGACTTATCTCTTATTTCCCATTTATGTGTAAGTTTTAAATTATATTATTATTGTCATTTTTTGAGACAGGGTCTTGCTATGTGTGACCCAAGCCAATCTCAAACTCACTTTATAGCCAAGTTTTGCCTAGAACTCACATTCTCCTGGCTGAGCTTCTCACATCTAGTTTTTTCCTATTTATTAATGTGGTTAGTCACTTGTTTACATTTGTGGACTCATGTATATGCATTTTATTGCTAAAAATTTCTCTTTATAGCTGTAAGCCATTTTATTTCCTTGATCTCAGAAGTCATCTGGGGATAAAGACATCATATTATTATCTATTTTACAAAGGTAGTACTGAGTTGTTGATGGTTGGGTTCAAAAGTTTGTTCTTTAGAGCAGGGTGCCAATGGCCCATACCTATAATCCTAACTACTCAGGAGGCTGAGATGTAAGAATCTATAGTTTCTAGACAGCCTGGGCAGAAATGTAAAAGACATTCCTATTAACCAGCAGAAAGTCAGAAGTGGAAGCATAGTTCAACTTCAGCTGTAAATAGAAAAGCCAAGCAATAGATCATGAGGCTGTGAGAACCCCAGTAACTGTCTCTGTCTCTAGACAGTCTCTGTCTCTCTGTCTCCCCCCTACCTCCCCCCCCACATTCTTTTTTTCTTACAATGTCTGTGTATGGCTTTAATGTGGCATTCATAGAAGAACATCAGTGATCAGAATATAATCATAAAAGTGGTAACAAGCCTGGTGCCAGTGGTGTACACTTAGATACTCAAGAGGCTGAGATCTGAGATTGCAGTTCAAAGCCAGCCTGGGCAGGAAAGTCCATGAGACACTTATGTCCAGTTAAGCAACAAAAAAGCCAGAAGCGGAAGTGGGGCTGAAGTGGTAGTGTCATCTTTGAGCAACAAAGCTAAGGGACAGTTTCCGGGCTCTTGAATACAAGTCCTATTACTTCTACACATTCCCCCGCACGCCCCCCCCCAAAAAAAAAGATAATAAGGAAAGTCAGACATCAGTGGCTCATACCTGTAATACTAGCTACACAGAAGGCTGAGATCTGGATGATCAGGATATTTTTTCAAAGCCAGCCAAGACAAAAAGATCAAGAGACTCCATCTCTAAAATAACTAGCAGAAAGTTGGGCTGGAGGCATGGTTTGAGTGGTAGGATGCCATGCCAGCCCTGATTCAAACCCCTGTGTTCTTGGGGGGAAAAAAGTGATAATAAGGAAAACTAGGCCATCGTACAGAATCTTTACTAAATTATGTGTCACATAATTTTTTGTGGAACTTTCTGTATTGATCTATGCTTTATATTTGTTTCAAAGGATGCTTCAGTGACTCCATGGCCTGTTTTGGAAGCCTAGTAACATTTCTTTGAAATTAGAATTTAGTCATTTTGCTAGTGAATTAAGTATTTTCAACCTCTGCATTTGAAATCATGTTCTTCATGGATTATATTTTTCTTTAAAATTTTCATGGGTTACATTTTTCAAAAATTATTATGGAGGTGATATACAGAGGGGTTACAGTTGCATAAGTCAGGTAAAGATTATACTTCTTTTTGGACAGTGTCACCTCTTCCTTCACTGGATTGTATTTCTTTTTTCTTTTCTTTTTCTTTTTCTATTTTTTTTTGGGGGGTCCAGTTGTGGGCCTGAACTCTGGGCCTGCATGCTGTCCCTCAGCTCTTCAGCTTAAGGCTGGCGCTCTACCACTTGAGCCACAGCACGACTTCCGGCTTTTTTTTTTCTGCTTATGTGGTGCTGAGGAATGGAACCCAGGGCCTTATGCATGCAAGGCAAGCGCTATACCACTGAGCCACCTTCCCAGCCCCACTGGGTTGTATCCTATATTTACAACTAATACGTGAGTCTTTTGAAATTCACTTTAGTATTCTAAGAGAGATTATACCAAAATAATATCAGACCTCAGATGGGTCAGAAAATTACAGATGCTATAAATGATGAGGCCTGGTTTTCTTTCTTTTTTTTCTTCCTAAAATGAACTTATTTTATTTTATTGTCAAGTTGATGTACATAACTTAGTTATGTAAGTAAGGTAGTGAGTACATTTCTTTTTTTATACATACATTCTTGTAACAGGTCTAATTAAATTGAGTTATATAGTTTCTAGTGTAAACAGAAAATGATTAAGCAATATGTTATTGAAAATTGAAAACTGTTAGGAGTTGTTTAATTTTTTTTCCTTTCTGTTACCGTGAATTAATTACTGATTTGTATAGAAAGATTAAAGATGAGATTAACAAGAAACTTGATTAAAAATGGACAAAAGTTCTGAATAGACATGTTCTCCATAAAGCCCTGAAAATCGCCAGTGGGTTTGCAAAGTTGTGTTTAATGCAACTTCTATGCTAGATTAATGCTTTGTGAGCAGAAGTCATTAGAGAAATGTAATTAAAAATTACTATGATACTACTTCATAACTATTATAACTCTTATCAAAAAAAATAAAAAGAAACCAGGTGTGGTAGTAACGGCTTGTAACTCCAAGCATTTAGGAGTTTGGATTTAAATATAAGGCCAGTCTGGGGGTATTGCAGATAGTAAAAACCTGCTCTTCATTACTTTTTTTTTTTTTTTT